TGCTTGACTCCTGGGCAGTTTGTACAACTGACCTTGAAGCAAGATGCAGATTCAAAGAGTTGGTGGGTTCCCCTGACCATGAGAGCAAGACTGTGAATAGAGTTGTCCAACCTGTGGGAAAGCAAAAAGCCTTTTTATTTATTTCTTAAATGAGAGTTAGCCACACAGACCGAAAGACTCAGAGGTGCCTCCGTACACAAGAGCCATCTGATTCTTGAGGATTTAAATGTAAATTTCTTGCATTGCTTTTACCTAAACGGCTCATCAGGGAGGGCTTACACACCTGCACTTGCTATCATTTAACATTTAATGTATCTTATAGATTTGCACATGATGGATCTCACAGCCTTCCCCCCACTGCTAACATCTGCCCTGCCGTATGTAAAAGGAGAACCATAGGCTTTAAGTGATATTTCAGACTCTCCAAGGTGATGCGCAAGTTAGTGCATTATAAAATGCTGCCTTGTAAACAGAAAAAAAAAAAAAAAAAAAAAAAAAAAAAAAAGGAATTACCTTAGCTACAAAGCCAGAATTGAGAAAGCAAAAGCTAATCTTCTGGCACTGGTGTCTCCACCTTTCAGAACTTACCTTATAAATTGTATTAAAAAAGACCAGGCTTGATGCATTCTTGCCTGAGGTGATGATTCAAAGAGAAATAAAGGAAACAGTTGACAGACTTGTGCAGAACTAGTTGTGCATTGAAGTGCTGCTTATTCCTGTATCTGTCCTTTGTGTGGATTCTTTAGCCTTTCCTGTCCTTTAGGAGATGAGGAGTTCACAAAAGAAGTAACAGAGTTGTTTTCAGAATTGCGTATCTCCTCAAAGCCGGACAAACTGATCATGGTGAGTTATTTCCCATCTTCTAAAAGCTGGAGAGATTCCTCACAGGAACTGCTTCTCAGTCCTGCTTTGCTTGTGAAAATATCAAATGCATAAAAACAAGCCATGTTTTAGATCCTTTGACAATGGTAGGCAAAAGAGATGGGCCTTTTCCTTTGACTTTATGGGGCAAAATCATGTTCTGTGATGTCTTTGGCTCTGAATCAGTAGACACTAATATGTCTTTGCCCTATCACTGGGCAGTAATAAGTGGTGGGAAAGATAACTGGGAGCAGTAAGCCTTCAGCCATCACAACCTACAGTCATGAATTGAAGCCCTCCTCTTGGTGCAAAGCAGTTGGTTTTACTACGTTCAGGAGTTGGTATGAGGTAGAATTGCCTTTCTTGCATTCATTTCACTACCCTTTAGATCCACCAAGTGGCAGCATCCATCTAAATAAACAACATCAATGCTGCTGTCCTCCATTTCTTTCCTGTGTTTTTACATGGGCCGGACGTGTCCATCAAAGAGATCCGGTGGGTCAGGAACAGTGTAGTTACATGTACTTCTCCTCCTTTTGCATTCATTGTATGGAACTGCCAAGTAGTAGCATATGTCAGATAGGTCTATCAGTGGTCATTGCCTCCATATCCAAGGAGTCCAACACTTGAAGAAGTCATCCTGATAGACCACACAGCAATTGGGGAGCGCCTTTTTTTAAAAGCGGCATGTTTTTAAAGCACCTCTGTTAGATGTGATCTTGCTGGTAAACTCCAGCATCTGGTGCTAGAGAAATGACTGCCCTCAACTATACCAGTGCAGCCAACCCTCTACAAAGTCCTGAAGGCACTAGGATCATTTATCCTGGTTCTCCTCACTAGCTCACGAGTCGTAGCTGTTTCCTTCCTCTAGAGAGATCCAATACTCCATCTTTTGTGGTGTGCAGGAGGGGCTACATTCCTGTCATTAAATGCTATGACACATCTTCATACAGGTGAGGACATCTGCTCGTGAATGGATAGCACAATTCAACAGTCATCTTCCTAAAGAAGAAAAAGAGAGTGAAGAAAATCAAGAAGTAGAATCCAGAGATGGTGACCATTATGCTGAAAAATCAGTAGAGGTAACTGAGCAATGAAGGAAGAGAATATCTGACTGCAGAGTGTTTATCTGGCTGCTGAGTTACAGTTGTGATTCCCAGAGTTTATGGGTTTCTATTTCTGTGCAGATTCTGAGGTCGGAAGAGGCAGTGTAGTGATAGTACATTGTGTGATTTACTTGTTTTAAATAAGAAAAGCTGCTAGTTTTTGTATGGTATGGGGGATCTTTTTAACTCTTGTAGGATATTCATGCGTTTGCCATAAGAAGTCTGGCTGAATTGACAGCATGCTCCATTGAAATGTTTCACAAAACTGCAGCTTTGTTTCTACATGGTCAGAAACAAGAGGTGACAGCCACAGACAGAGCCAAGTCCCTTTCACAGTAAGTTCATCTCTTAGTAAATGCGTAGCATATAATTACTTACATACTGATTAAACTGTCTAAATAATTCCTTGCAAATCCATGGGGTGCAGGGCTCTTGAATTCTGCATATGTGTTCAAAGTTGCAATGGGTGGCATCACTATCTTCCAGCAGAATTCAGCTGTCTCTTTCTTTTTCCAGCTTAAAGACTTTCTTGATAAGAAAGAGGAAACCCTACTTGAAAACTTTTATATAGCCAAGAAGAATGTTTGCCCTAAGCTTATGCTAGTTAGTAGATAGACATGTAAAATATGACAAAGCAGTTGTATAAAAGTGATTCTTAATTACCTCTTTGTTAATCATTTAGTATGGTAGGTACGTGATATTGTAAAATTGCTGCACTAATTAGTAGACTGGTCTTCCAATAATGCATAACATGAGATTTTTCTTTTATGTCAGGAGATACTTGGCAAGTGTATGAAATATGCAATACTTTCTAATTCAGAAAATGACACTTGTCAGTAAAAAAAAGCAAGTTAGTACTGTTCCTTCCTGAATGGATGTGTCTGTCCTCTGAATGCTGTTTCAGATCTTCAGCTTTAATTATTTATTTTTCCATCTTTCCCCTCCCAGAACTTCTGGTTCTTCATACGCTGTTTATATGCTCCACATCATTTTTGGTTTAATTTAGATTTGCATGCATGGAAACAAGGTGTTTGTGTTTTAGAGGAATGCTAAAAGAAAGTTATTCTTACAGACTGTATTTACTATGTGGTTTTCGCACTCTTCTTCCACAGAATGACGATTGTGCTGTGTAAAGAACTGTCAGCTTTCTCTAAAGAGTTTACTACGTGCTTAACGACTGCAGGGGTAAGAGTTACCCTAGGAACCATAGTTCTTAGGAATGAGATGTGGTTAGTTGATTACAGCCTTGGGATCTTCACCACGAAGTGCTTTTTGTGTTTGCACATTTATATGTGCAGTTTTTTGCCCTGTGAACTGATCTTCTAGGTCAGCGTTCCCCAAACTGTGGCAGCTGAATGTATGCTGAGCTTTTGAATGCCTCCTGCTGCATTCAGCCTGGCACAGAGTGGGGGTGGGAATTGGTGCTGATGGTACTAAGGAAACAGAAGAAAATAAGGTTTGTGATCCTGTTGTGGATTTTCCAAAACACTCAGGTGTTTATTGAAGATAATATTATCTCTAAATTCTCCAGTTGTCCACAGTTCATTTGAAGATGTAATGTGTGTATTCATATACGACTTGTGTTGGGCATATGTGGGTTGCTTTGTTCTTATTTGCATGCTACAAGGCAGGTCTTCTGCAGCTTGTGACTTAGCTTTCCTATAGTCAAGGGAGCAACAGTGATTTTAAACTTACTGAGGACTTAGCTTTGTCTTGCTTGAAGAAATGTGATCAAATTTTCAGTCAGGATAATATATGTCTGATCTCTGCAGGTCAAAGAGAAAGCAGATGTGCTTAATCCCCTAATCACTGGAGTGTTTTTGGAGGTCAGTTATGCTAAAGTTAAAACTTTAAGCTAATACTTAAAAAATAGACATGCTGGTTTTTTACACTTCAGTATCATTATGCATGCCAAGTTCTCTAACCTATGGTCTAAGATTCTGCTTACCTATCTAATAACTTAAAAGTTTTCATAAATGTCTGTAGATTTGCACAAGAGATGAGTTGCTTAGTGAAGAGTGAGCCTTATATGGTCTCAGCTGACAGTTATGATGGGTCAGAAGACACACATTAAATTCAGCAGTCTGGATTTCTAGAAATTAAATGTCCAAAGTCAAACCTTAGACAAGCTCAGAAATTAGCATGCAAGAGTCCCAACACTTCTAGCTGTTAAGTTGGTTCTCAACGCTTGTGAACTTCTGAGGTGTGGTAGGAAACGGGTGTTTCCTGTTGGTGTGTTCTTCCTTCCTGCTACAGCATGCTTATGCTTCACTTTGAAATAAATTATTCTTATCTGTTATCGAAAACCATATCCTACATTTGGATTGCACCTGATCTTGTTTGGCAGTTTTTAAGCCAGTTGCTTTTTTGCTTAGTGGCAAAAGCCCCTCAAAAACTTAATATTAAATTGATTTCTAGAATGAAGCCTTAAAAATCTGACAAGCACTAGGCTTCTGTTTCTTATGTGCATTAATCAATGCTGTTTGAAATGAGTATGTGGTTAGCAAAGCTGATTGGTGGCATAATTATTCATGTGTGTATTTTGATTTTTGTTTTCATAGGCTTCAAACAGTGCTTCATATATCCAAGATGCCTTCCAACTCTTGCTGCCTGTACTGCAGATCTCTTTTATTGAGGCTAGAACGGAACTATCACAGCAATAAAAATCCTTCTAATTAAGAACTTTTTGACCTTCCCCGTAGTTTCCATGCTGGAGAATGATGTAACAGGTGTTATTAAAAGGAAAAAGATTAACTCTGATCGCTGCTGCTGCAAGAACGGTGATTAAAGACAGTCTGGCAATGAAAGCTCTTACAGCACATTGTGAGATGTGATTAGCATAGTCCAGGCTGGTGGACAGCGTGACAGACTTAAAGTGCAGGTTGCTTCTCTGTTTTCATGGACTGTCTATGTCTTTTCACTGAAATCCCTGTGCTGTATGTGTTAACAAGCTCTTTGGAGAAGCTCTCTGGACTGTGAAGACAATGCTGGAGAAAAGAGTAGCAGCTGGCTAGTTAAGAGTTAGCTAAAATCATGGTGTGATTTTTAAGTCAGAGAGACATAATTAGGTTCCTGGTTGGTTTTGAAGTGAATATTGGATAGGAGGTGCAAGAAAAGGCAAATATTTATGATTATGAACCTTGCAGTTCCTAAGCTGGAAAGAATAGAGCAGAGAGGATTCCGTATCAAGCCGTTGTTGCTGAAGAGAAGCCCTGGCTTCCTGAAGATGTCTGTTAATGACTCAGGGATGTGGGATGGGGACTCTCACTAGGGTGCTGTTTCTCATTCTCTTGCAGAGTGCTTGCTTCAGCACGAGCTGGGAAAATGCTGATCTCGCCCTAAGAATGTGGGTACTTTTCTTTATAGCAATAAATGAGAACTGGCTAAAAGGGATTGATTCGTGTTTGGGCAATTTAATGAGAGAATTTAGCAGGAGGAGTCCCCTTTTTCAGTGCAGCTTGACATGTCAGCCACAGACTGTTCACAAACTCAGATACTGCTTTTCTCCTGTTTCTGTGTAAAAACACTATCATGCAATGCTCCTTCTTCTTGGAAGGTATATTAAAGTAAGAGGAGAGGAAGCAATTTGGTTCTGTTAGCGGGAATCCTAACTTGTCTCAGAGCCTGTTCCACATATGGTATCTGTTTCTTTGTGCTGTGAAAGTTCCCTTTTGTTCTTTTTTGCAATTTCTATCTTTTGAGCCTGCCCGTTGGGAGGGAGCAGCCTCTCTTGGATTCACAAGAGCAGAAATGCACAGCTAAAATGAAACTTCAAGAAGCCCAGAATAGCTAACCAGAGGTGACCGAGTGTCACACCTGCCTCTCTACTTGCTCATTGGTAACAATGATGCTCAAATCCCATTTTTAAAATCCTCTGGGTTTTAGCAGGTCTTGCACATTTCTGCTGTACTGAAGGCTTAACATTTCTCTACTCTATTTGTGCAGTAGAGAAGTGTTTTTATTATTAGAATACCTTTTGTCTAGTGCTCCTCTGATTTTATATATATATGCAAAAAGCCTTGCCTTAGTCCTGGTTAGACTGATCAGATCTCTAAAGGGAGAGCCTTTTTTTGCATCTTAAAGAAAACTAGACTTGAAAGGAGTGTGTCTGGGGTAAAAAAATCTGCACTACAATAAACTTTATATTTTTTTTCTTCTTTACGTTGATAGCATTATTAAAAAAAGGATTTGTTTCGACAGCCGTTTTAGTTAAGAGCTATCAAGATAGCAATGGGCACAAATGAAATGAGAAGAATGAACTTCTCAGTCCTGACTGTGGTTTGTGGAGCAGGGCTGGGAGCTGCTCTAGGGCTTTTCTCATGGCAGGGTACCATCTCATAGGAAAGAGGGCTCTGAACCCAGGCTGGGGAGTGAGAGCTCCCACAGCTGAGCTCCCAATTCCTGCATCAGTGCAAAATGGCAGCTTTGCTCCTGCCGCAAAGCCAAAATTTACAGAAATGTCAGAAGAGAAGAAATAAAGATAATGGGGTTTTATGAAGCAGCAGCTGCTTTTCTTGCAGATAAATTATAGTGACTTGCAGTGCTTTAGTGTAGAGCAGTTTAATAATTAAAGGAAATGAGGTGTGTGTGTGGTTTTTTTTTTTTTTTTTTTTAAATGCAGACAGTAATTCTTCCAGTCATATGCCCACCTGGATTTTGTTATAGCAGCCAATAATCAGCCATGCACGAGCTTCACTTGTGTGCCAGTACAAGGACTGCAATAGATAGCCAACAAAAACAGTTCCACAGTTGCTGAAATCTTCCTACCCAAAGGATTCATCAGAATTCAGCATCCAACTGTCTGGAGGTCTTATTGCTCAGCCTTGCCTTGCGCATGAACCTAATGAGAGCTGGCAGTAATTTGAGCACTTCTGGTAGCGTTTGGGGAGGTGAGAGGTGGCTGGGAATAGATAAGAGTTAGCTAAGATGCTGGCAGTGACTTGGAGGGTAAAAAAGCGCCTTCCACAATTACTTTCTTTCCTTGGGAGAGATTCTGTTACTTGCAGCTGTAAAAGCTGCTTCCTGGCAGCTGCTGTGGAAAGGTTTAAAACATAAAAAAGGCTCAGTCCTCCCGATGGGCTTCGGGACTTGCTCCCAGCCCTTGTCCAACCAGCTTCCCAGGGACTCATTTTTCATTATTAAAACATGCACGTTCAGTAGCAGCAAAACCTCTGACACAGGAGGGGTGAGCAGTTGTCCTTGTTTGGAAGAAGCAGCAGCTATGTTGCCACTGGTGGCCCCGAGCAAAGGGACAGCTGTCCTAGGTCACCCGCAGCACAAATTAAATGGCTTGACTCAGAGGCAGGAAGGGGAGGAGAGCTCGGGCATTTCTTTCCCCGGTGTGCACACTGGATCCTAAATAAACAGTGGTCTACGATGATGTGATTTAAGCAGAGAGATTGGTCTTCTGTAGCCAAAGGCTCCTTGGCACAGAAATGGAGGACGTAAGTGCCCAGTACTGTGCTAATTAATGTTTTCTGGGAGTTTCGCTAGTCCCTCGCAGCTCTGCACATTGACAGCAGTGCAGAGGTGGCCATGTGCTGGTGTTTCAGGAGCTGGCTGGCAGGTTGGCAGCTTTGTGCCCGCTGCAGGGTGAGAGCAGAGCCCACGCAGTTGGTGGCCTGGAACCTAGAAGTGGCTGCGGCTGCCATCCTTCGCTGTCCTGCTGAGTGGTGGCAGCCACCCCTGTCCTGTAAGATGCTGGTGGCTGCACCCTGGCCCGATGGCTGGGGCAGTCCCCGAGAGGTGGTTGGTGATGCTTTGTGTCCTCATGTCCAGGGAGCGATGGCAGGGCTGTCCCCTGGGCTGCTCTAACTGGAGGATGCTACAGGCTTAGGTCCCTTGCATCAGAGTACTGAGAGCCTGGCTGGGGCTGGCAGAGAGCGAGCAATGAGGTCACCGGTTAGAAAAATAAGGTCGAGCGTGGTGTTTGTGGGGGAGGATCCTTGGCAGAAGCTGCTCAGAGGAGTGGGCTTGGATGCCAGCCGGTCCCGACACCAAACAGCCTCCCTGGATCTGTTCCAGGGTCCCGCGCTGTGCTCCCTGTGCACGTCTCCACCGAGCTCCCGCACTGTACCCCGAGTTCCCCAACTGCGTCGACCTGGCGGCTGCGTTGCGCCGGGACAGGCGGGGTTGCTGCCCTTGTTTACCCCAAGACTGAGCGCTGGTCGCCGGGAGTTCCCTGAATGATTTGTGCGTGAGCTGAAGCATCTCTGCTAGAAAGCACCACTGCTGTTGATTGTGAAATTGGCAGCAACAGGGACTGCCACCGGCTTTGCTGAGCTGCTCCAGGGTTTACCCACCCTTGCCGTTAAAACCCATCCCTTATTTCTGATCTAAACCTGCCGAGGGAACTCTTGCTCTGCATTTGGGGCTGGTGCAGGCTCTGGTGGAGGAGGCCTGGGGCAGACATGGTCAGGTGTTTGGGATGAGTGACTTAAGTGACTTATGCAGGGAGCAAGCAGCTGTACAGGGGTTACCCAGGGTTAGTCTTGCTCGGTGGGAGGGGGCTCCATGCATGCTGCAATTACTGTAAATTAAAGTAAAATGACTGTGGAAGCAACTTTGTTGTAGAATTGAAGGCTTTAAATGGGGCAAATCTTGCGGGAGAGGCAATACTTTTTATTAGGTGGAGAAAACAAATTAGCTTTCAGGTACACAAGCCCTCTTGACATTATTGTTACTGTTATTATCCCATATTGGGATTAGAAATGAGGGCATTGCATTAGAGGGGAAGCACATTATGCAAGTGTTTAGACCTGCTGGTTACTGCTCTCAGCTGACAGGTATTTGCTTAATGATATGTTGGAGTGAAAGCCAGCAGCAAGGGCAAGCATCAGAGGGAGCTGGGAGTGCTGAGCTGTGCCTGGTGCAGCCTTGCCTGGATCTCCTGGAGCAGCCTGACATGTCCCACCAAGAGGGGAGCAAGGACCTGCTGGAGGTTCCTCTCACTGTGGTTTTAAGGACACCCCCAGATCCCCTCTTCTCTACTTCAGACAGGGTCCTGACCAGAGCACGTTCCCAGATGGAGTCCCCAGTGCCCTCCCTAGTCCCAGGGCTGATCCCTGTGGATGTCTGCAGCCTCCAGAGCTGCCCTGGCTTGCTTGCAGAGGGTCAGGAGGTCTTTCTGCTCCTGCCCGCACTGGAGGCAATGTCTGTGGGGCTCTTGCATGTATGAGTGGGACTGGTCATGTTCCCAGTGTCATGTGCTGCCCGTGGCAGGCAGCAGAGCCAGTTTTTCTGCTCTGAAAATGGGACTGGGGAGGAGACCGCAACGCTCAAATACCTGGATCCCTGGTAGCTGCCAGCCAGGCATTGAGGAGGCCACTTGCCTTCTTCAGCTCCAGGTAAGGTGCTTTCCTGTCTCCCTCGTGTCATCGAGGGGATTTACAGAGTCGCTTATCAATTTTACGGGCTGGGGAAGCAGAGCGGGAGGGCAGCGTGAAGCAGAGGGTGCAGCAGGAGCATCCCTGGGATGGCTCGCATTCCGTGTGGTCTTGGGGATGGGAATCGGGCATCGTGCCTGAGCCTTGCGGGAAGGACTTCAGTCTTCTGGGTGAGACAGGAGCGGGCACGAACACTGTGACCTGTAAGTCCGTTGTGCCTGGGAGTTAAGGTCATCCAGGCTGTTGCACCTGGTGGGGTATGAATTACGCAGGTTTGCTTTGTTAGCCAGAGGTCTGATCCACGTGCACCTCGTGCTTTGCTCGGCCATGGGGAACAATTGCCGATTGTCAGTGGGGACCATAGAGCCAGTTGCTGGGTTTTGCTGGTTTGCCTGCCCGGACTTTAGGGAACCAGCTCATCTGGAGCAGGGAGACTTGCCTGCCCGAAATGCGGGGTGGCTGAGGCTCCGAAGGAACAGGCAGAACTGGATCTGCTGGTCTGGGATGGGAAAAAGAGCAGAGCATTGGGAGCCATCATCTGAGCCACCACCCAAGGCAGGGGCTGCACAGGGCGATGGGTGGCATCCCCTAGATAGGAGCACGGCAGAATCCTGGGGTCGGGGAGTCCACCCCAACTCTTGGAAATCAGCTGGGTTGGCCCTCAGGGACAGGGTTAGCGGTGTGGCGGGGAATTAAAGGGTTGTAACCCCCCGCGGTGGCATTTCTTAGCATGCGTTGGAGCAGCACTACCCCTTCCCAGCCCTGGCTGCTGGGCTTTGGTTGCCCATCTCCTGGTGCAAAGCTTGAGGTCCACCTCTGTGTACCTTGTGCCTTTCCTATCTGCTCCCCTCCCAGCAGTGAAGGCACAAAGCGGGGACATCCCCTGCGGATTTGGGGCTGGGCACATGCTGTGGGAGCTGTGGAGCAGCTTTGGTGCATAGGACCTGGGGTCAGGGCATCAGCTACACCTTCTCCTGCACCTTCCCAGGGGCTGCCTTT